AACATCAATACAACGGTGTGAGAGAACTCACCTTGAGTGAGTAGTAAGGATAGCTAACAATCAAATAATGCTACCAAGCTTGAGCAAACTTCAAAACCTCACCTAAGAAGGACTAAAGGTTAGAAAGGAGAAGTAATGAAGCTATGAGTTGAGAAAAGAGTAATCACAGCAAGGTCTCTAAAACAGACCTGCTGTTCAAAACGGATTTACTCCAAAATATAAAACAGAAACATAGCTTTAACAAAATTTTATAGGAAACTATGGTTGTTCAGGATTCCAGAACTATAAAGAACTCCTTCTAACTCCAAAAGATGAATTAAATATGAATTTTACAAAATGGTGTATCACTTCTGTCTCCAACAATACAGTCAAGTGATGTTGGCCAATTCTACCCAACTTGTGAGTAGAATTCGTCCAAACCAAAATTCAGAGAAGTAAAGGACATACAAATGAAAGTCTCAGAGTTGGAATTTAATGAAAAGCATCTCCCAAACTCCAGATATAAAATTCACATTGTGGACAATCACAGCACTAGCAAAAGCTGGTGACTGCCCACTGATCTGGAGTGTGGATCCATTCTAACCAATTTATAATTGTAAATAACACCCCCATCTGCTCCAGATCTTAAATTCATAATATAAGGAACATATAGAAACTTGGAATCACTCTGGATCCTTTCCAAGCCTTAGAAATGATGAAAACAAAATGACATATCAGAACAGACCCGGATCAGACCTAACAGCAAAGATGCCATTCTTTCCCATAGATAAAGTCCTTATCAGTGAGGTTGGCCTGCTTAAGAAAGTTAGCCAACTCAAATTTTGAACTTTTGGAACTGGTTTGGGGTCCGTTTGAGTTCTAGAGCTCAAGATATGAATTTTACAAAATGACTACAGATCTGATGGAAAACAGAATCGTAGCCACCCGTGATTCCTTTTTGGCTTATCCATCCTTCTCCCTTTGAAAACACATTTTAAGATGTGTTCATCATCCCAATTTAGTCCCCATGATCATGGTGGTACTAAAAAGGGTTAGGTATCATTAGGATTTCATTTTTCCACAAGATTGTAATAATAATCAACATGAAAATGAACATAAAGCACATAAAATCACCATTCTCCCTTTTAGGGTTTCCATGATCTTTTGCCACATGTAATCCCCTAGATCCATCATCCACCATATATGGGGTGAAGATAGGATCTTGAGATGATGTATAACATACAATTACAAATCAAATAGGAAGGAGAAGAAGTGAAGATGAAATCATAAAACTAGAACAAGGTTATGAATCAAGTTGTAAGAAATGATAATGAGGTTCATACCAATACGAATCAAGGCTAGAAATGAACAAGAATTAAGCTCCAAACAACAGCCCCTTGGCTGCTCTTGATCCCAAAGAGAGAGAGGACGATTTGAGAGAGAGATGGAGGGTTTAGAGTGGTTTTCTTGTGTGTGTTCCAAATGACTCAATTAACACATTAAGTACTATTTACTAGATGGACTTGCAAATAGGCCCATAGCCCATGGACTTCAATAAAAGGAGTTTACAAGATGATCAAAAGAGTCCAATAACATAAGAAATCAGACATTGGTTAAATAAATTAACCCAAGGTTACAAGGATAATTAAATTAAAATAACCAAACGTACCGAGAAAAAACCGGGGCGTTACAGTTGGTGACCATACGAGACCCTAGTGGGGGAGTGCTGACGGTGTATGGCGAGGGTACCCGATCTGGGTCAGCATTTTGTTCGGCTGCCAGAGCGAGACAGAGTCTACAGCAGGGCTGTAGAGGGTTTGTAGCCTATGTGATGGATACACGAGTTGCCGCAGAGAGGCCGAGTTCTGTCAGCGAGGTACCGATAGTGCGAGAGTTTCCAGATGTTTTCCCCGAGGAGTTGCCGGGTGTGCCTCCCGAGAGGCAGGTGGAGTTTCGCATCGATTTGATTCCGGGGGTAGCACCTATTGCCAAGGCACCCTATCGCCTTGCGCCACCGGAGATGCAGGAGTTATCCTCGCAGCTTCAGGAGCTGCTGGGGAAGGGATTCATCCGACCGAGTAGCTCGCCGTGGGGAGCGCCGATCCTTTTTGTCAGGAAAAAGGATGGTTCACACCGGATGTGCATTGATTACCGGGAGTTGAACAAATTAACGGTCAAGAACCGTTATCCATTCTCGAGGGATCGACGATCTGTTCGATAAGTTGCAGGGTGCGTCTTGGTTTTCCAAGATAGACTTGAGGTCTGGATATCACCAGATGAGGGTGCATGATGAGGATATCCAAAAGACAGCATTTAGGACTCGTTATGGGCATTACGAGTTCGTGGTGATGCCTTTTGGGCTCACCAATGCACCAGCGGCGTTTATGGACCTCATGAACCGAGTATGCAGGCCGATGTTGGAGCACCTGAGGGAGATCCTTGGAGTATTGAGATCGGAGAGGCTTTATGCCAAATTCTCCAATTGTGATTTCTGGTTGCGAGAGGTCCAGTTCCTGGGACATCTCGTTAGTCATAATGGGATATTGGTCGATCCGGCCAAGATTGAGGCTGTCATGAGTTGGGAGGTGCCGAGATCCCCCACCGAGATCAGGAGTTTTCTGGGGTTGGCCGGCTACTATCGGAGATTTACCCGGGATTTCTCCAAGATTACCGTTCCCCTCAACAGATTGACCCGGAAGAGCGTTGCTTTTTCTTGGGGTCCAGAGCAGCAGACCTCGTTTGAGACCCTTCGCCAGAGACTATGCGAAGCCCCACTGTTAGCCCTTCCGGAGGGAATGGAGGATTTTGTGGTTTACTGTGATGCGTCTATATCAGGGTTGGGTGTGATGCTTATGCAGAGAGGGCACGTGATAACATACGCATCGAGGCAGCTGAAGCCTCATGAGATGAGGTATCCCACCCACAATTTGGAGTTGGGGGCTGTAGTGTTCGCCCTCAAGATATGGTGCCATTATATGTATGGGGTTCGGTGTACTGTATACACGGACCACAAGAGTTTGAAGTATCTGATGGATCAGCCCAACCTGAATATGCGCCAGAGGAGATGGTTGGATGTGGTAAAGGATTACGACTGTGAGATCCTGTACCACCCGGGCAAGGCTAACGTGGTAGCCGATGCTCTAAGCCGTAGGGCGGAGAGTGCCCCGATTCGAGACGTATGTATGAGGATGACGGTGATGACTCCGGTGTTGGATACTATTCGAGAGGCCCAGGCAGAGGCTGTGAGACCGGAGAACCGCAAAAGGGAGCGGGTGATTGGACAGGTGTCCGAGTTTGTGACGGATAGCCGAGGGCTCATGACCTTTCGTGGTTGGATTTAAGTGCCGTATAGAGGTGGGGCACGTAGCACTCTGATGGAGGAGGCGCATAGATCGAGATTCTCGATCCATCCCGGGGCCACAAAGATGTATTTGGACCTGAAGAGAGACTATTGGTGGCCCTGTATGAAGAGGGATGTTGCATGGGTAGTAGAGAGGTGCTTGACCTGTCGCCGGGTTAAGGCCGAGCACCAGCGTCCGCATGGCAAGTTGCAGCCACTAGAGGTTCCCCAGTGGAAGTGGGAACAAATTTCTATGGATTTTATCACCAAATTGCCAAGGACCGTGAGGGGTGTTGATGCAATTTGGGTGATTGTGGACTGGATGACGAAGAGCGCTCACTTCCTTGCTATCAGTGAGAGCTCTTCTGCGGAGAGGCTGGCAGAGACATATGCGAGAGAGGTGGTGTCGCGGCATGGAGTGCCGATCTCGATTGTGTCAGACCGAGATGTACGTTTCACTTCCAGGTTCTGGAAGAAATTCCATGAGGAGTTGGGTACGAGATTGCATTTCAGTACTGCTTACCACCCACAGACGGACGGACAGAGTGAGCGGACGATTCAGACACTCGAGGACATGTTTCGGGCATGTGTTATGGACTTCGGTGGAAGTAACACACAATAACATTTTCATTATAACGAGAATATTTTGAATACGTTGCTATACTATTTTACGAATAGCATTAAAAACATGAAATGGTTTTACTATCAATCGTGTGTGATTTCACAAATAACACTTTGATAATCATTACTTTATTTGTGTATATATATATATATATATATAGGGAAATGATCAAATGATAACACCTAAAAGGTTGAGAACGCGAGAACAATTCTGGACCAATCAATATACAAGGGTATATTAGCAATTGTATATTTTAATTAAATTAAAATAAAATAAAATTCAATCAATTTCCCTTAAATTTAGGATCAGTTACCAAAAACCAAAAAAATATTCTATTTTTAATTTTACTTATTAATGGAATATAAAAAACATTTTTACCAAAATTTAATTTAAAACTGAAAAAAAATTAATCTTTTCCTCGAATTTCATATTTTTTTATAAAAATGAATAGAAATTCAATCCCAAATCAAAACACTTGTATTCAAAAAACGAAAATTTTCTTCAAAAAACCTAATACGACTCCAATCACAAATGAATATACATCAATTTACAAATAATTCAATGCCTTTTTTCATTAAATGAAAATAAAAATAGTGTAAAAATTTTCATTTCTTAAAAAAGTGAATACCTCTAATCATAAATAAATACACTCATTCACACATGAATACAATGTTATTCAGAAATAAAAACAACCATTCACACATGAATACAATGTTATTCACAAATAAATACACCGGTACTCATAAATAAATACAAAATAAAAATAGTGTAAGAATTAACAATACCTCTAATCATAAATAAATACAATCATTCACACATGAATACACTACTATTTATAATTAAATACACATTCTATCATAGATGAATACACCAAAATATAATATAGTTTTTCATTCTCCTCTAGCTCAAATTCTTCACCTTTATGTAATGATTAAACCACTTCAATGGAAAAAATTACAAAATTCATCATTGTGTCAACCATTTTTCTTGAATCGGTCGCAGCCTCATTCTTCTGTTTGAATCAAATGGCTCGCTAGCTTGTGTAAGCAGTAGTGATACCTAAAAAAATTCCAACATTCCTTTTTCTTTGATCAATATCTACAAAATGACAATATTATGTAAATACTATAATATGGTAAAAAAAATATTAAAATGATTGATTGGTAGTAAAATCATATGGTGTTATAATCATAAATAATTAAAACTGGTCATCTAATCGTTTATCTTGCAAATAGTTATAATCATAAATGATTCTTATCGGTGTCTTCTAATCATATGGACAACAATATTTATAATCATAAATGATTATAACGAACATAATCAAACATTCTTTTTTGATTAAAGAATTCAAAAGTGAAGTGTTAATGGTCGAAGGCTAACATTGATTTTTAAATGGTGATCCTATTGATACTTGAAGCTTCGCTCGTGAAGGAATTGAATATCAAAATTTTCAATCAAGTTTGGATTCTCCTTCTAATGAGGTAAACTTCCCTTTCTCCTTTACTGTCTATAATATTAGAAAAAAACACCCAACTTCAACAAGTTCTTTCATGTTCTTCATTTTCGTTCATATTGTTCTTCATCAGTTCTTCATTATGTTCTTCAAATTTTGAATCCAAACCATTTTTCTGATCAAACACCCAATTTCACAATAACCATTATATTCTTTATCTAATCTTGGTCATTCATCAACAAAAATTTACAACATAATCTCTAATCATTCAATAATCGGTAAATCTTCATATCTCCGTGAATGATGAAAAATACTAATTGAAATTAGTCAATGGAATTGAGACCTCATACAAATCAGAACTTCATGAAATAGATTTTCACAATTAAGAAAAAACTACTGAGATTGAAAAATTATACAAAATTTTTGGAATGGATCAAAGAAGAACATGAAATTAATCTGAAATCAAATCAGGAATTAGCAAATGATTTAAACGCACATATGATTCAGATGAAAAATATGATTTACAAATTGAACAACGATTCCGATTCACAGCCAAATCAATCAAGAAACATGAAAGAATTAAGATGCGATGAGAATGAGAAATATGAACAAAAAGATTAGAAGACACCGATAATATATTAATTTTGGGATGACCTTATCCTTTTTGAGGTGTTCTTTGATGCTAATATTGGGATCCAAATGTATTTGGCTTTCTTCGTCATCTTCCACTGCATAACAAAAGGATTCAGATGCATCGTCACGAATTGCAGATCCAGATGGTGGTGCTTAATGCCTCTCGTCTTTACCATCAATATCACCCATGTTGGCGACTAGGGTGCGGGAAACATTGACGCTCATTGGTGTTAGATCGCCGACTGAAGGGAGGAAAGAAAATGGAACTGAATTCATAGAGGGAAGCGGTTTATTATGAAACCCTAAAGAGAGAGAGAGAGGGAGAGAGAGAGAGAGGGATAAAGATACGAGAATATCAAAGGAAAGAGGAGAGAGGGTGAGAAATTTTAGGAAATAGGTAATTTGCAATTCCTATTATACCCTTCTGGCCATTTAAATGTTACACTTTAATGCCAGTAGTTTTAGAATTTTTCATAAATCGCCCGTTTAATAATAACCTTAGATCTAAAGATTTAAATGGTCCAGATCTGTTCTCGCGTTCTCAACCTTTTACGTGTTCTCATTTGATCCTACTCCTATATATATATATATATATATATATATATATATATATATAATAGATATATATATATATATTGACTACATATATTTCGAATACAAAACGTCCATTTTATCGAAACTTTACAAATATAGTTTACGAAACTTTACCCCTTTGTAACCCGTTGAGCAAAGGGTAAAAACGATATAAAATACATATATCGCCGTTTTACGACACTTTCGACGTCATCCTGGAAATATGGGATAACGTCAGTTACAACCGTTTTTATTTCAAAAACATGTACCTAACTGAGGTATACAGAAAGTCTGTATTTATAACCGGAACCTCCGATACGATGGCGTGATACTTGTGTATAGATCTATACGAGACTGATGATCTCACACCCTGACTACTAGCTATAGTCAGACTGGCAGGTTATGGGTGACAAATGTCATAAATAACTCAGCGCTTGAAGAACAACGAGACAGGCACTGCATCTTAAAAGCACGGTTATGAAAACTCACATAGAAAACGACTATACGTACACTTTACACGAAACCACTTTTCTTCAAATGGTTTTATACATGAATAAAACTACTTATTAGTACTTTAAGTACGGAAAACACTGGTACATTTCGGTCTGGGATCTTTTAAGACTACAATTCATTTCTACGGAAAATATAGGATTTTCTGGAACAAACACCCATATTCTACAAGTGAACAGCTTACATTGCATTATTAGAAAATATCGGATTTTCTGGAAACCAAACATGATAACTTTTCATGGAAAGGCTTACTATTTTCATATAAACTCTTATGAACTCACCAACTTAAATGTTGACACTTTTTCAAACAACTTGTATTCTCAGGAAACCAGTAAACAGGTAACCACAACTTTTGAGGATGGGGCGCTAAGGCGTCAAACAAGTCTTTTTGTCACTATATTGTAATTGGATTTTGAAACATGTAACTTTTACAATGATGTAATTTTTCCAATTATATATATATATATATATATATATATATATGATGGTCATGTTTTCTTTCTTTACTGTTATTTAACTGTTATGATACAATACATGAAAGTCATCCGCCCCCGGACGTTTCCGCCATCCTGGTTTGGGGGTGTGACAGAGTCGTCCACCTCATATCATCTAGAAACAAGCCACGTGTCATGAAATCGTGGTTCCACATGTCATGTCCACAACATGCCATGTCTCCTTGACCCTTAGAGGAGTAGGCGGCCGGTTTGTCACGTGGCATCCTTTGGTGGTGCCATGTCTTCACCGCGCGCAAATTTCTAGATCTTTGAAAGGGTGTAACTTCTTCATATGAGCTCCGTTTTCAACATTCTTTATATCGTCAAAAATCTCTCAATGAGATCTACAACTTTTGTTTAGATCCCCGACAGATAGTTCTCAATCTATGAAAAAATTATATTTTTGATAGGCTTAGACTGTTAGAGATTGCTGCAGAAAGCATAACTCTTACATACGGACTCCATTCTCGATGTTCTTTATATTGAAGGACTCCTATGGACGAGATCTTCAACTATAGTTTAGATTATTTTGCCTAATAATCTACCGTTCTAAAAGTCAATTGTGTTGCGCATTGTTATGCCCGGTTGTACAGAAACTTCGAAAAATCATAATTTTCTCTCACGAAGTCAGATTTGGACGTTTCATATATCTACGTAAATCGTATTGATGCTTCCTAGGTGCCAATGACAATTATTTTGGTTTAATTTTAATATATTTTTATTTTGTATTTTATAATATTTATAATCTATGACTATGGTGAAAATGGGGTGTTACAAGTCTCATCACTATATCCACAACAATGATCATTTTCCTTATCACTAACCAAACTCGATAACTATTTGTTACCAAACTAGTCACGTTTGTAAATACAGTTTACTAACGACTTAACACTGTAAGCCATTAACTCAATCGACAAATCTCCATAAAATAAGGTATATAACCCTTACCGCTCAAATTATATATTTCAACTGATCATTGGGTTCGTAACAACACCATATCAAAAAATTCAGTATCACATACTCGGGTATAACAACCCTCTATAAAAAATTACATAAACATATTTACATAAAATGAGATAAAATATACCTCTGTTGATCCCATGAATCGAGTCACGTACTCTCGTATCTAGTACGTTACAACAGTAATGATTTCCCAGAAACATCTCCCGAGCTGCTCTCCCGTCCACGTGTGCCAAAACCTCTCAAACGATACCAAAACACAACTATTTAGAGTTGTGCGCCACCACGTCGTGATGGTCTATTGACCATGTCGTGGCCACCATCGGTCTCTGAAAGCGCCACATGTTTGTCTCTTTGTGACACGTGTCTCACCCGACTGTTACATGTCTCTATGACTCTGTTTACCACCACGTTGTGGCATGTACACGACCACGTCGTGGTGACCACGATTTGACCGTCTGACTTTGACTTACGTTGAATTTCTTAAAATAGCAACGTACTTTCATCTCAACTTCATACGACCATAACTTCTCTTCTGAACTTCGTTTTCAACAATCTTTATATACACACGGTCATCTTTAAAAGATCTACCACTTTTTCAACCCCATGTTGCTAAACAAAAAATTCCCTATTTGAAGCAACTCTATGCTTTATTTAACTTACTCGTCTCACATTAATTTACCTCTTTCGAAATAATATTTGTTACGAAAAATAGTGTTACACACTATCACCCGGTCCGGTAATGGTGGGATGAGTGAGATTGTTTAATATAAATTAGTATAATGTTGGTGTTGTCCAAAATATATCATCTTCCAAATATTTAAAATAAATTAGAAGATGTAGGATATGCGAGATTTTTTATTTAAATGATAAATAAAACAATTAAAATAAATTCAATTCAATTATTTTTTTTAAATAATTAAAAAGTATTAGCCCAATAAAATAATATTTATTAATATATAAATATTACATATTTAAAAAAATATTTATTAATATATAATAATCCAAGCACTAATATAATAAAAATAAAACTAAAAAATAATTAACTAAAAAATAATTAATAATCCAATAAAATGTTATTTATAATAATATAATGTATATCTAAAATAATCTTTCTAATATTATAATCACCCTAAAGAATTAGTCCAATAAAATTAAAAGAAAAAATAACTAAAAGAAATTAATAATAAAATAAAATAACATTGTTCGTAAATAAATATTATATATTAAAAAAAATATTTTTTAATATTTCATAATCCAATAAAAAGAATTAATCCAATTGAAAAAAATTAAAAAAAGAAATAAATTAAAAGAATTAATGTATAATATTCCAATAAAATTAAAAAGAAGAGATGCAAAAATGGTTATTGTAGTTTGGTAAAAAAACATAATTACATAAATGGTTTCTGAGTGTGAAATTGTCATTTTAAAAAATTAAACAACCAAAGTGTTAAAGGTCCGCGAGGACCCCACCAAAACGTACAAGGTATTCAAAATTAGACCAATGATACATCACCAATCGTTTTTGAACAAAAACCACTTACTTTTAACAACCATAATGACCATTTTTGCAATTTTGTTTTTTTTTTAATTTTTTTAATTTCTTTTTTATTGGATTATTTTTTTAATTGATTATCTATATCTATATTATCTTTTAATTATATTATTTTACCATATAAAAAATATTAATTTATTGGATTTTTAATTCTTTTTATTCTTTTTTAATTTTTAATTATATCTTTATATTTATTTTATTAAGTTCTTTATATTAATAAACATTATTTTATTGAATTATTAATTTATTTTTAATATATAGTCATAAATATTTTTAATTTTATTGGTTTCATCACAAAGTCACCGGATATGTAAAGTGTCGTCTCTCATCGTCGAAATCGTCGATGCCACAAAAAATCACTTTCGCTAAAGTTCCGAAGGAAACCCCACCAACATGTTCCAATTAATGACTTCAGTAGCTACTTGCGACAACCTTTTCACAATCCGTCAAAATCATCCATATATGTCACTAAGCCATTTGTTTTCCGATACAACCAACACCATTTGAACCATCATGAGGTCTGATCCAAATACTCATGGTTAATTCTTTCATTCGTTGACTTCTACCACTTTGCACCACATCATCATTTCGTCAGATATCGTCGATCGCCGCATACACCCGACCATTCTCGATGAAAACTGCACCGGTCGACTACCCACACAATGCACAACAAACTCTCGTAAAGAAACAACCTCTAGTCGGCCATTTGTTACCGACACCGCCGTTGATGGCAAAAATGTTAGATCTAAGGTTTTCAAACCACCATAGTCGTCGCCAGATCTTTTCCGATTGTGCATGTTTGAAGCTTCGATGATATAGGTTGTGCATGTGCTGGAATGGAGGACACATGTGGTGGTGGTGTAGGTGGTGGCTTTACAGCTTCGACAGAATGGAGAATAAAGATAGATACAAGGATATGTTGATCGATGGTGGTGTTCTTACATGTAAACATTATAATAGGGAGGCGGTCTGGCGGTGGTGGTGACCAGGGTGGAGGCAGTCCGACAGTGATGGTGGTGACCAGATGATGGTGGTGGTGTTGTCCAAAATATGTTATCTTCCAATATATTATATTTCAATTTAAAATAAATTAAGAGGGTGGGGTGGGTGAGATTTGTTTTTGGCGTTTATTTTTTTAAAATAATAAGAAAATAGTTAAAAGAAATTAAAAACAATTAAAAATT